TTTTAGAACCAAGGAAAACCAAGGAAAGCAAACAGAACTTAGGGACACTGGAGGGTCTATATCAAAGCCAACTTGTACATTTAGAAAGCCAGTAAGCCTTATCTGTTAATTTGGCATAGTAACGTTCCAAACCTCTTAGTAATAATGGATTTGTTTTTAAAAAAAGTATTACCTTCTACAGAATCTAGATATAGATAACAAACTAAAGATAGAACTTTGTGATAACCTACTTCATAGCTTCACATTATAATAGTTTAAGCTTATTTTTGAAGTCAGACAAAATAGCCTGTTTTGACAAAGTCATGGTTGGAGAGCAAGGGTTATTATGTCCAGAATAATTAATAGTAATTTTAGCCTTTGTCAACACCTAATTTTATATTTTTTCTTTGTACAACAGGGAGGAAACTTTTAATTATTAAATACGAGCAAGCTGCAACTTTGAACCCACCTATTTTGCATTCTCTGACTACTTGGCAATTCAAACTTGCCAACACCCCCCACCCCAGGAAGATAGATTTTTTTTCCCTACATTTACTCAGGAATGTTCTTCACTAACGTCCATGTAATTGAGTGAGTGTTCAAATTTCAGAGAAGTTGAGCAAGAGGAAAATATATCACACAAAGTTTACCTCAAAACATAATATGACAACAGACATCATTCAAAATCTTTTGTATACACCACTGCTCATCTGTACCAAGTAGCATCTAAAATTTCAAACTAGCCAAGTGGATTTTGTCTGTTCCACTGAATTCAAAAGTTAGTTTTATTACTCGGGATGGCACTGCTGCATTCTAATGAGCTTAGTGAGTCCATTCATATTGTAAAAACCATGGAGAAGACTGATGGAACATGCATAATACAATGTCAGGATAACCGTGACCCTGAATAATTAGGCGTATGCAAAGCCACTTCATTTGTAAAACTTAACAGTTATAAGAGGTTCAACTATATGCAAAGAAATGTCACAGCAAACATTTTGAGATTTGTGCCTAACTGGCTTCACCTGACAGCACAGTATCAGGTGTTAATGCTGTTTTATGTGTTGAGATTGGCTATATTAACACCTGTAAATAAGTGCAGTGTGTTAACACTGCAGATCATGTGTATAGATGTCTGAAGTAATGTGTGTATTAAATAATTACAGGAGTCCTTACACAGTTTTGAAATACCTTTTAACCTATCTCAGTAGTGTAGTCAGAGATTAAAATATCTTTTAACATATCTCAATAGGGGACTTACTGTTGTAAACAATTAGTAGAAACCTAAAATCCCCTGCTTTTGCATTGGTGTAGAAAAGCCACAAATCTCTTAATACACTCCTGGACCAGTCTTTCATCTAGTTTTCCCATGAGAGAATTACAAAAGTGATTCTTGGAGTTAAATTAGGGCATTTTAGAGCTCCACAGAGGACAGGTTTGATATACTTGTCATAAATCAATATGTAACCCAAACCTGTCCAATATCAATTGGTTGCACCAAGTTCGTTTCTCCAAAATGTTCTGCCATGACGTTTTATCTGCATGTTCTTTAGTCACAATGGACTACATTTATTTTCTAAAGAATGCCAACCTTTAGAAAATAAATCCTTCTAGAGGTTAAATAACAGGACACATTTTGTAGGATTGTCCAGGAGATGCCATGCACAAACCATTCTGTATAACGCCCTGACTTTCCTAGTGAGTTGGTAAGTATAAAGTCCCTGATGCAGGTACCCTTTGCAGCACTGATTTGACTTGAAGAGGCACATTACCAAGGCCTCATAAGAACAGCATGGTCTCTGTGTCAATTTCACAAATTAAAATCCATTAAAAAGTACATCACCATCATATCTGTTTGTTCTCCTTTCTGTTACTCTTCTAGAAGAATAAATGCTGAACGTATCTCATTTGCATAAGCAGGCAATATACACCAGTCAGTGTCTTCTAAAGCATTCATGCTAATGACTTTAGCCACGGAGTCTCAGCCTTTTCTCATCTCTTGCTCATTATGATAACCTGTCAAGCATCCCATGAAAGCTAATAGCACACTCAGACTTCCCTTGATAGAGGCTCATTTTAAGAGTGGTGTTTACATTTTCCCATCTTCCTGTTTTGTCTTCATTTTGATAGGTGAAAGTAGCCAAGGACATAAATCTCCTTTTGTCGGGGCCCAAAAATTATCGAATATAAAGTTTTGGGGTCCAAACCTCAGCTCTAGTTCCAGGAGCCTGAATCTCCCATTGTCTTCCAGATGCTGGCTAATTACCACCAAATGGCTTAGCCTCAGTGGAGAATGTCTCCTAGTTTGCATTACAACAGACCTAGGCCCTGAGTGTGCCTGCACCTGTTCCGAGGCCTTGTTTACATGCCTAGGGACTGTTTGGGGGTGTCTCTAAGATTAAAAGAATTATTTGTTATCAGCTTTATACGAGATAGTAGATGTCTTCTGCCGTCTCCCCCACCATGGGAAAGCTATTTAAGAGGATGCTTGAATAAACCAGGGACTCCAGTTTCCAGCATGGACTGAGAGCCCTCCTGAAATGGCAAGATGCCTGTGTCTCCTTTTTATCGTCTTTGGGTAGCTAAGAGTTTCCTGGTCCAGCACTTCCCTACTCAGGGATGGACCCAGGGGCCATTCGGCTGGCTCAGAACACAGCCCCCAAGACATCAGTATGGAATAGATAGCCTCTGAGGCATGGGGCTGATACAAGCTGGTCCCCAGCATCCTTTAAAAGTTTTTACTATTTATTATTATTATTATTATTATTATTATTATTATTATTATTATTATTATTATTTGGGTCTGTCTTTCCTTCCTTCTTTCCTTCCTTCCTTCCTTCCTTCCTTCTTTCCTCTCTCTCTCTCTCTCT